ACCTGTTTATCTTCAGACTGTAAAACTATGTCTTGATCCCGTTTTTCTCTGACACGACCAGGGTCAATGCTATGACTATATATATATATATATTTATTCCTGTTTATGCAGGAACATACCAATTGTACAGGCATGGATAAGTTATTATATAAATTACAGTTTGTTTGTTCAATCTAACATTAGAGTCAATCAGAACAGTCTGCAAAATAGTCTGTCTGTGTAACACTGGATGTTTTTTCCTAAAGTTCACGTATGAAATTGTTTTCGGGTCACACCACCATGTCTTCAGCCAGATGTGTTTCGAACGTCATCCTAGATTGATGAAATCCTGTCATAGCTTTATTCCGGAGACGAGGTATAGCTTTCTGGCCCCTAAAGTTTCAAGTGTGATAAAGATATTCACCTCAAGTATGCTGAAGTATTCTCCATCAAGCGCCTGAAACCCAACTAATGCGTTCAGGCAGAAGCGGTTATCTGTCTCTCTTTGCCCTGGTAACTGAACGTCTTTCATTTGATTACGTTACAACGAAAATTCCATAGTGTGTGGTTATTGTTGCTTGTGATAAAATGGTTATTATTATTACCATTATATGCACATATTAATTTTTTGTTTAAGAGTGAACTTTATGTAAGTATGTTAAACTTGTTTTTGTGCATTAAATTGATGTCTTTGGGCTGTAAGCAGCCAAGGAGAAGCCAACAAAATAAATGATGGTACCATTTTATTTTGCACAAACTGTTCAAGTGCGCCATACACGTTCACGTTTAAGCAGTCCACAAATCTCTCAATTTATCCATGGATGCATTTCTTTTACCCTTTGGATGGACCATAGAATGAAAAGCTGGGTTACCGAGGTGTTAAGGTGCTTGAATTTGCCCCACGCAGCCTCCACGTGAGACTCTGCACATACGTACTAGTCCTGAGATGAGGCCAGTGAGGCGCTTATGTTGGATTTAGAGACCTTTTCAAAGCTGGGACTTGAGCGCAGGATGCTTCTGCATCTATGAACTTGAACACATGATCACTTCTTTCTAAGGGTGAAAGATTTCGAACAAAGTTCACATCCTCATCGTGGAAGAAAACCATGTCTAATACTGAGGAGTGCCGTGATTCATACCGTGTAGGCCTCCTGACACGTACTGGGGCTTCTAAGATGACTGACTCTCACTGTTTTCAGTCTAAGGAATTGTTTGAGTATGAGGTTACAAGTTTGTTCCAGTCAACTAATAGAGCTATACCATAACCATCTATGAGTGAAGTCTTGGGGGTGAACTTAACTTCGATTACGTTGCGTTCAAGTTATGATCACATTGTCATGGTGCCATCATTCTATTCAGCTCAGTCCGCTTAGTGAACAGACTCTGGGTGTTGGTGCAGCTAACCGTTAAATCATCTTTCTGCTTCCTCTTTCTATCCAAATACGTTTGCAAATAATCAGGCCTCGGACTTATGCTACAAGAAAGCCCTTAATAATGGCATTCTTCTCAGTGTTGTGGCGCCGTTCTTTTAGCTTTATCGCCCAAGACTGTCCTCTGATGAAGCCTGCAAATAGGTAGGTGCCTGAACCCTTGGGAGCGTCATTACAATTGCATCCTATCTTAATCGCAAGTCAGCAATGAGAGTAACACAGCCGACACAAAAAAGTGAAGAGAAAAGAAGACTGGACGTTGATAAGGGAGCTTTTACTGTCTGAAAACTATGGCCAAAAAGGATTGACACCGCTTGCGTATATATATATTTAAAATGACCATAAGAGTCACTAATGTCATTTATATATTAAACAGTGAACAACCAATGGGATGTGAAAGGTCACAAGTAGGGTGAGAGAAAAGTAGATCAAAAATCAATAAGTAGGGTGAGATCCAAACAGACATGTAAAAATGACGTATGGAAAATTAGTTCTATATGTCAGTCGCACAACGGTTTCCCATCACAAGCATGGTTCTCAAAAAGAATGCGACTTTAAGGAAAACAACCCAGATGTGATTAAAGAAATGACAAATAGATAAGCAAAAATAAAGACGCCAAGTTTTATGGAGGTGCATAAAACTGATTAGACAAAATGTCACAAAACACTTTCCGTATGTACACGCATACACAAGTAGATTGCGAACATTTTGTTTATTATCATCAATCAATGAGTGGTGTTAAGTAACATACAACAAAAATACCTATTTCCAACATGGTCGCTGTAGTCAAAATCCGAGAATAAAATCACTTGTTTCACCTGTTCGTAAAGCTAAATAACAGTTTAAAGCGCACACTTGACTGGTGACGTGACATTGAAACCGTAGTTTCCACAATAAATATTTATTTATATCCAACAGAACTTAGCACACCTCTAGACCTATAAAGATAACCAACTTCACCCAGAATATTTCGATTTAAAATTTCTCTATACAACACGAGAAAGGCTGAAATTAATCAATGGAGTGCAAAACTTGACCCCGTTTCCAAAGTTTGCAATACCACTGATAACGTATGCACATGACGCTCGCTGACTGAAGGAACATAAATATGCATTTCCTCAGAAGCCAGAGCTATACGCTTTGAAGGCCTCGCATGAGCACTTAAATTTCAGAGATCTTGTGGAAGGAACAAATTGTTACAGAGGACGAGTATCTCAGCAAACAGGTATTAGTTCCTCTTTCCGGATTCAGACTTCTCTTTCAACACAGGTCTCAGTCGTATGACATCCTTCTCACAACGGATATCTTTGTTTGCATTACACCTCTTTGTAGGGATCACTTGAGGATGAAAATAACACTTCTGCTGCTGGCTCTAAGGGAGAATGGCACAGATGAAGGGCCCAGGCAGCAAAGCGATAAACTTCCTCCTACTTTCGAAACTGTCCCCTACATTCTACAAGGTGTTCCAGCCTGATGGGTAGGAAAGAAAGTAGAATTTTGGGCACTGTTACTATGCCACTTCTGTCTTTTTGCATGATGAAGACATTCATATTGTAAAGCCACTTCTCTAATCAGGGAACATGTCTGTGGTATTATTTTGAAATGTTTCGTGTATATGTGAGGTAAGAAGTGGCTGACTGAACGCTAATTCGTAGCCTTAACCATAGAAGTCATGTGTATTAAGTGATGGAAATTCGCTGATGATTCTTAAATTACACTGAGGAACCTCAAACCGAAGGCTGCAGCTGCACGACAGTTAGCCGCGGCTCTTAGGCCGTGAACTGCTACGAAACCCGTTTTCGGTTTTCAGTGTCAGAAATGTCTATTGCATCCTTTTGGTCTCTGAGATTATTTTGGTTATTTCCGTGCAGAATCACAGGGTGTTTGGTGAGCCTTTGTAATTCATTGTTATGCAGGATAGGCCGGGTTCTAAGCTATGTGGCACACTGTATTATACATTTGTATAGTAAGACAGTTTCAATTTAATCCAGATTCCGCCTCCTACCTACACGAATTTCCCATACCCATTTAAGCACGTCATCTCTTCGATCCCAAAAGCAGCTTCTTTGGCTCACTTCGTCAAAAGCTTTGCTAAAGCTGATCAAGACAACATCATTTTTCCTTTGACCCCGCCTTCCATTGATATGAGAATGTTTGTCCAACTCTAGTTGTCTCACTGGAAAATGAACTTTGCACTGGAAAACAGTTTGTCATTCTGACTGATTTTAATAAAATCAATCGTGGTATCTTCTGGCG